AACACAGTAAAAGTACATAAAAAGAATCTTATTTTTTGTGGAGTTACCAGAGGAGGGCGAGGCAGGAGACAGAGTCGGAGGGCAGGCGTGAGTCAAAACCAGATCGGCACAAGCAGGTACAGGGAGCCGGCTGGAGACGTGGTAGAAGACAGGCGAGGGTAATGATGGCAGGCAGAGTTCAAGGCAGGGGTCAGGAGAAAAAACAAGGTCTGGAGGCAGAGATCAGGCAGGGTGGATGGCTGGAGAATTTCCTGGCAAATGTTTTCAATAATCTGGCAGAGACCGGATAGCAGGATGGTTCTTTTATAGCAGGGGAAGCAGGTGTGTGAGATGAGCTGAGGAGTCAGGAGCAGGTGAAGTGGTTGAAGCTGATTACAGGAACAGGTGAGATGAATGGAGTTGATGGTGGTTGCCAGGGAAACAGGGCTTGTCAGGAGCTTGGTGAGGGGACCAGGTGAGCTGAATGAAGGCTGAAAAATGAGAGTCATGACACCAAGAAACACTTTCACAAATGATCCAAACAAACTGACAAAGCTGAAAAATGGATCCAGCAGGCCAGTCCAGTTTACTGAAATGTCACTGAAGCAAGTCAGAATGATGCCCAGAAGTTTGAATGGACCACAAGCTTTATGCAGATCTAACATCAAGACACGCCCCTTATGAGCTTATGTATGGTATCCTGGGGAATCTTCTCCATGGATCCTGACCAGGGCATCACTGGGCTCCTGGACAGTCTGAGGTGCACATTGGACAGACCTAAACATGATGTCCCAGAAATTTCTTATTAGATTTTGATCATACCAGAGGAGCGCGAGTTTGGTCCGCATAGCCGGTAGTAAGTCGGACCTGTTCCCGGTGAGGGTTGGACTCCGCCAGGGCTGCCCTTTGTCACCGGTTCTGTTCATTACCTTTATGGACAGAATTTCTAGGCGCAGCCGTGGTGTGGAGTGTGTCGAGTTTGGTGGCAGGAGAATCTCGTCTCTGCTTTTTGTGGATGATGTGGTCCTCCTAGCTTCAGCCAGCTCTGACCTTCAGCTCTTGCTGGGTAGGTTCACGGCAGAGTGTGAAGCGGCTGGGATGAGGATCAGCACCTCCAAATCTGAGACTATGGTTCTCGACCGGAAAAGGGTGGCTTGCCAACTCCGGGTCGGGGGAGAGGTCCTACCTCAAGTGGAGGATTTTAAGTATCTCGGGGTCTTGTTCACGAGTGAGGGTAGGAGGGATCGGGAGATCGACAGGTGGATTGGCTCAGCGTCTGCAGTGATGCGGACGCTGAGCCGATCTGTCATGGTGAAGAGGGAGCTGAGCCAGAAAGCCAGACTCTCGATTTACCGGTCGATCTACGTCCCAGCTCACCTATGGTCATGAGCTTTGGGTAATGACCGAAAGAACGAGATCGCGGATACAAGCGGCCAAAATGAATTTCCTCCGTAGGGTGGCCGGGCTCAGCCTTAGAGATAGGGTGAGGAGCTCGGGCATTCGGGAGGGACTCGGAGTACAACCGCTGCTCCTCCGGATCGAAAGGAGTCAGTTGAGGTGGTTTGGGCATCTGGTCAGGATGCCTCCTGGACGCCTCCCTGGGGAGGTGTTTCGGGCATGTCCTGCCGGCAGGAGGGGTCGACCCAGGACACGTTGGAGAGGTTACATCTCCAGTCTGGTCCGGGAACGCCTTGGGGTCCTGCCGGAGGAGCTGGTGGAGAAGGCCCGGGAGAGGACGGTCTGGAGCTCCCTAGTTGGGATGCTGCCCCCGCAACCCTGACCCGGATAAGCGGAGGAAGACGACGTCGACGATTTTGATCAACAATATGAACTAATTCATCCTCCATGATCTGCCTTCATACTATTGCTACGTGAGGACGGGAATTGATGCACCAGGAGGAACCCGCTACACCAGCGAATGGTGTAACAATGGGTCTAAATCAGGGTGCTCGGTTAGGGTTAGGGTCCTGTACAGGTTGTGTGTGTACCTCCATGGATATGCCTCTTCAGACTAACACTGAGCCACTGCTGTTTGTCAGGCTTATCAGCCGCTGCTGCTTAACAAGTCAGTCAGCCTCCTCCTACCCCCTGATCTCATGAGGCCCTGTTGTGTTGAACTGATCCACTTGTGAGGTGTTTTGTTCAGATGCAGCAAGGTGTGACTGACAATGTTTTGGGTTTAAGTTCAGAGCTGCATTGTAGCTGCTAGAAAGACAAAAGTCAATGCTTTTCTAGGCTCTACAAAACATTATTTTATTAAATAGGGTTAGAGTCCCTCCTTTGCATGAGTTTAAGGTTTACTTGGTTAGGGTGGGACGCTACTGGATGTTTTAAAGAGGAGTTGAAATGGTCCTGGTTCTGGTGCTGCTGGAGGTTTCTTGCTGTTCAAATGGACTTTTCCTTTCCACCGTCGCCCCGTGCTGCTCAGGATGGAGGATTGTGTGGGAGTCAAGATTTTAACCAATCTCCTTTTAGAATGTAGTTACTGGTATTTAATTGTGAATGCAAGCTTATTACAGCTGAATTGATTCTGCTGCAAACAGTCGGCACAAATCTGAACCTATCTGCTGCTTCAATAGTGCTTAGAGAAGCCACCATAAATGTAGACTGAACTGAAAAGATCGTACCTGAATAAAAGAGGCCAAAGAGAGTCAAAAACTCAGAATGGTTCTAGTATGTAGCACTGGTGACGAAGGTAAAGTGTTGGAAAATATTTCCTTTATTAATTAAAAATGCAGTCATTCTGATTCAAATTGTTGTAAACTACCTGGACATTTTAGTCAGTATCAGATGATTCATGCAAAAAGGGCAAAAGACATGTCTATCAACTCAAGTCTGGAGTCCTGACTCAGGACAGACCAAAGGAGGAACTGACAATGGTTCACTAACATCCGAGAACTCTCTGGATTCAAACTTCTTTTACTGGTTGGAGTTTGTAGGGATTTTAAATAACACAGATCTATTTCATGTGACTCCGCGAGTCGTTTTCTGCTGTGATTATTTATTAATGACTAAATAGTTAAAATTAAACTGAAAATCTTCTTAGACAACTTTAAGTTTCTATAATCATGGTGCATTCCACATCATCTGCACAAAGCCGAGACTCAATCCTCAGGCCACCAAAATGGATCCCCTCAAAACCTGGGCTGTGCCTAGAAATCCTGTCCATAAAAGTTATGAACAGAATCAGTGACCAAGGGCAGCCTTGGTGAAGTCCAATTAACTCTCACCGGACTTCATGCTGGCAATGTGGACCAAGCTCTGACACTGGTCATGAAGGGACCTAACAGCCCCTATCCCTCCTCTCTCTTTAATACAGGCATGCCCAGCTTCGTCCGGTCTCCAGACGATCAGACGGGGATTTCTGGAGGAGTGGTGTCGTTCGTTTGTCAGGCCATGGGTGAGCCTAGACCTCGCATCACCTGGACCAAAAAGGGGAAGAAAGTCAGCTCCCAGCGCTTTGAGGTTTGACTGCAGGAAGATCTTTGTCACTCCTGTTGTTCTTCCTCCGCCTACACCTCACAGGAAAACAGCGTTCATTCAGCTGCTTAGGGCACAACAGATGCCTGTTAGTCGCACATTCATTTAAATCAGGTGTGTGGCAGCAAGGAAACACTGGTGTTTGAAAGGGCAACATGGAAAACGTGCAGGACAGGGGGGTGCTTGAGGACCGGGGTTGAGAAACACCACAGCTTCCTTCTGACATCTGCTGATGACACAGTAAAGGTCAGCTGTCCTGGTGGGACTCGGAGCGATCACTGATGACAGGTGTAGAAGACCTTTAGTCAGTGATGGATCATTAGAGAAAACAACATCCCTGATAGAGCTCAGTGAGGTGTTCATACAGGTCTGAGCGCCGTGTTAATGTTGATACTCCTGAAGTGAATAAAATACTAGCTCCTGCCTACAGGCTCAAACTTCATGGAGACAAAAGCCTCAGTGGAGCCTGGGAAAGGGAGGTTCACACTATTTACAGCCCTGATGTGTTTGTTTTAATATCAGCCTCTCAGAGAGGAGTTTGCATTGGCCTAACAGAGATGTTTAGTACACTGCCTGGGTGCTCGGTGATGAGTCTGCAGAAAATAAACTAATCAGCAGTTCGAAGGAGTGTGTCTGTGAAATTCCTGCTGCAGGGAGGAACACAGCCTGCTTTCAGGTGGCCAGTAAACAGCATCCTTTGAGCTGAATTTGTTTGGTTCCTGTAGACCACGTGGTTTGTACTTTAGGGTTATTTTATGTTATAGAAAACTAAATGTCCAATAAATATGTTAAAATATGAATAACAGAGCCACATTTCGTCTATTTGTTTATTACTTTTTAATAGATTGTCAGAATAACTATTTTGTGATATGGGTGTTCAGTAGAAACCAGTTAGAACTGGAACTGGAGATCTCTGCTGCCGACAGGTGAAGGAGTTTGATGGTGGGTGCGGTTCGGTGCTACGTATCCAGCCTTTAAGGACCAATCGAGATGAAGCCATCTACGAATGCACAGCCACCAACAGCTTGGCAGAGGTCACCGCAACTGCTAAGCTAAATGTCTTAGAGGGTAAACCTGATTTTTGTTGCTGTTTTCATTGTATGTGCCAAAGTTCCTAACAATACCTTCTCCAACCTTACATTTGCAACATGCATAAGATTTTGTCATGATTAAGAAAACCCACACAGCTTTTCTGCAGTTCTGAGAGTTTAAAATGCACCACAGATAGATTTGTTTGTGTTAGAGTTTAAGGCTATATAAGCCTGGTTCTGACAATAACTTTGTTTAGCAGATTGGTTGTGTTTCTCTTGGCGACAGAGGACCAGATTCCCCATGGTTTCCCCACCATAGACATGGGTCCTCAGCTGAAGGTGGTCGAGAGAACCACCACTGCTACGATGCTGTGTGCTGCCAGTGGAAACCCCGACCCGGAGATCCACTGGTTCAAAGACATGCTGCCTGTGGACATCAGCAGCAACAGTGGCAGAATAAAACAGCTACGTTCAGGTGAAGCCTCATCCTAGCCTGTTCACGCACGCACGCACACACACACACACACATGCACACACGCACGCACGCACACACACACACACACACACACACGCACGCACACACACGTGCACACACACACACACACATACACGCACACACACATACACGCACACACACACGCACGCACACACACGTGCACACACACACACGCACACACACACACACACGTGCACACACACACACACACGCACACACACGTGCACACACACACACACGCACACACACACGCACACACACACGTGCACACACACACATGCACACACACACGCACGTACACACACACGTGCACACGCACGCACACACACGTGCACACACACACACACACGCACGCACACACACGTGCACACACACGTGCACACACACACACACACGTGCACACACACACACGTGCACACACACACACACACACACACACACACACACACACACACACACACACACTGCCTGGCCAAAATAAAGTCACTAGGATCCTCCTACTGAATGAGTGATTATCTTTCAGCTGCAACCAGTTATTTAACTGGTGGTTGTGGAAAAGATGTTAGTCTGTTTTAGAAGGGTCAGATCATTGGCTGGCATCAAGCAGAGAAAACATCCAAGGAGGTTGCTGTACCCTGTTTTAGAGCGATGGGCGCATCAGGGTAAGAAGAGCGGCCGATTAAGTGATGCACCCATCATGCCTAGTGCCCACTGCACAAGCCTGTGGGGGCAGTGCTATGATCTGGGGGTGCTGCAGTTGGTCAGGTCTGGGTTCAGCAACAGGATGTGCTCAAAGAATGAGGTCAGCTGACTACCTGAATATACTGAATGACCAGGTTATTCCATTTCCCTGACGGCACGGGCATATTCCAAATAGTGAAAGAGTGGTTCAGGGAACATGAGACATCATTCTCACACATGGATTGGCCACCACAGAGTCCAGACCTTAACCCCATTGAGAACCTTTGGGATGTGCTGGAGAAGGCTTTGTGCAGTGGTCGGACACTTCCATCATCAGTGCAAGATCTTGGTGAAACATTAATGCAACACTGGATGAAAATTAATCTGGTGACATTGCAGAAGCTCACTGAAACAACGCCACAGTGGATGTGTGCCGTAATCAAAGCTAAAGGCGGTCCAACGAAATACTAGTGTGTGTGACCTTCATGGCGACTTTTCTTTTGGCCAGGCAGTGCTTTGTTGAAATTTGATGATGTTCCAGCGCTTTTTTATTTAGCAGAAATCAGGTTTTTGATTGATTTGAAATGCATTTTTGTTGATTTTTATTTTCTTTAGTTTAAATAGACAAAGTGAACGTTAAGGAGCTGGTTTTAAAAGACGACGCATTTACTCTGAGGATTTCATACTGCTACGCTCTACTTACTCTTTGTTTCATGGAAACATTGTGAAAATATAAAAAAAAAATACTGTTATTTTTCGCAATGAACCATGATTTTTGTCCTGACACAAGTGTGGCATGTATCTGTGGGACAGGACTGCAGGGACATGGCAGGTCTCAGTTCTGTCCCATCTCTCCCCTCTGGAAGCTGCGATGAGCCTTCTATCCAAACCCAAGGGGCCACACAGCTTCTGGTGCCCCTCTCTTATCAGTCACTACCTACCTGATGGTTTGTGTTCCTGTCAGCTGAAGGTGACTGATTGTTTCATCAGGCTCACTGATATCTGCACAGAAACCAACCCTCTGAACCATTTGCTGCATGTGACTCTTGGTACACTCAAATTGAGTCAGTGAAACAGACAGAATGTAAAATGAAGAAAAAAGCTTTTTTCACTTAAACTTTGCAGCCAGAGCTGTTACTTTATCCACCTTTCTAAATGACATCTACATCAACATGAGCTGAGGTGGATGTTTATAGATGTGCTGGATCAGAACAAGGGCAGTACTCTCTCACTCCTGCTCCCTCTGACTTAGGCCTAGTCCACACGTAGCCGTTTTTTTTTTAAAAACGAATATCCGCCCCTCCAAAAACTTGCATCCACACCACCTCGTTTTAAAAAAAAAAACTGTCCACACGTACCCGGATAAATACGTTGTTAAGGACATGCCAGACCTGTAGGCGGCAGTACTTCCCCCGTTCGTAACCTCGTCCTTCGTCTGTGGTCTTCCGCAAGGAGCAGTAATTCCGCTTGCAAAAACAAACAAGCAAAAAGCGCTTGGACAATTGATAAAGCGAGCGCAGCTCTGAGGGCATTCATGCTGTCGGCTAGTGTAAACACAGGTCGCACACGTGATGTCAGCATTTTTTTGTCGCGGAAAGTGACGCTGCGGACCTTAAAACTCTGGTTTTGTCTGTCCACACGCAGACACCCAAAACGCAGATCTTCACTTTGGCCGAAGTTTTTAAAAAGATCCGTTTTCCTGTGAAAAAACTCCGTTTTCGTGTGGATGACAGGCCAAAACGTAGAAAAATATCTACGTTTTGGCAGATCCCCGGCTACATGTGGACAGGGCCTTACACTGTTCTCCCAGAGGGACTTGTTATTAATTAACCAGTTAACAGCCTCAGGAAGTTCCAGTTCCTGCAACCTTTTTTGAGCGCCTTAAAAATCTCTAAAAATAGTCAACTCTTAATATTAGACCCATGGTCAAGCAAAGTCGTGGATGTTGACCTGCACAGTCTGCAGAGTTGGCTCAGAGTCTTGCAAACAAACCACAGAGACACAGCCTGGTGAACATCTAAACGTAACCCTTTCATGTATGAATAAGGAAATCTTCAACCATGATTTTTGTAACAAGTTTTTCATTCACCTTTAGGTATGAATGAAACAAATTTCAACTAATTTTTGTTTTTTAACATTTAATTTACAAATAGTTTATTATATGTCCACTTCAGTGGACAGTGTGCATTCTGAACATTAAATATGTTGGCTTGACTTTAACTAGAGTCCAATGGGGGGCTCAAATGCAATTCCATTATGCACGAAAGGGTTAAAAAAGCTGCTCATTCTGACCCAAACTGCTTAGTTCTGTCTGTGAAGCCCAGAGGATGCTCTGAGTGACTACGTGGGCCTGCCCGGCAGACCTCATGGTTTTAATACTTGGTAGAAACATTGATAAGGTAGAGCACCGATCTAACGTCTGGACACCCCGGCTCATTCACTATTAGTGGGAATATGTGTTCAGACTCTTGACTGAACCTCTATAAATGATGATCATTCCAGGCAGTATGCAGAAACAAGATACGCACGTGCGCGCGCGTGCACACACACACAGACACACACACACACACACACACACACACACACACACACACACACACACACACAGTCCTCTCATCTAGTAGAGCATCTCGTGGAGCAGCAACTAAATATTACTGAAGGTTTCCCTAAGTTGCATCAGAGTTTCCCTCTAAAAATAGATCCTTAATAGTGAATCTGATAGTCAACAGTTTTCTGGGAAAAACACAGCCGGTGAAGGACTCCAATATCATGCAGAAAGCTGCCTTGTTGATTAAACAGCTGCACTCATAAATCATCAGATTAAAATAAGAACACCGACTGGTTAAAGGGGAGGACAGAGTCCACCGTGTTTGGACAGGGTGTGAGGAATTATTACGAATCCCTCAGAAAATCAGAATGAAGGAATAAATATTAGAGCAGTCTTTAAGGACATGGGTTTCTGTATGTATTTCCTTCATCAATAATCAAAGTTGAAACCAACAGTGATGATAATGTTTATTTATTTCTCTCATTAGTAGAAAATCACACTCCTACACATGTCTAAATGTATTACAAGCTTTTGTTTTCTGTAGTGTTTCTTCTTTGCCTTCCTGCTCTCTGTCTTCTCTTCTAATGATTATTTTTAATCTCATTTGCATTCAAATTACCTCACAGGTGGTACACCAATAAGAGGTAAGAATGCCAGGTGCAGCAAGCATCTCTTCATCCCCACTCCTTCATGGTCTTCTTCATCATGTCCTTCGGTCTGTTTGTCTCCATCTCCTCCATCCCTGTCAGAAAGAGCGTGACCTTTCAAAGGTCAAACACATGAAAACCCTCAACAGAGACACTCGATCAGTTTAACAAACCAGAATGGGTGAAAGGTAATTGTAGGTCAAAGGTCAGAGATCACATTCATGCTTAATGACAAATATTCTGTGTGTGTATGTGTGTGTGTGTGTGTGTGTGTGTGTGTGTGTGTGTGTGTGCGGGCATTTGTGAGTGTGTAGTGTGTGTGTGTGTGTGTGTGTGTGTGTGCGCGTGTGTGTGTGTGTGCGTGTGGGTGTGTGTGTGTGTTTGTATGTGTGTGTGTGTGTGTGGTGTCGCTCAAACCTAAAACAACTTGACCTCTCCTCCCAGGAGCTCTTCAAATAGAAAACAGCAACATGTCCGACGAGGGGAAGTATGAGTGTGTGGCGGTGAACAGTGCTGGGACTCGCTTTTCCAGTCCAGCTAACCTTTATGTTCGAGGTAAGACTTACTATGACTCTGGTCAGTCCTCTGGCCTTCAGAGTGTGACTACTGTCTTTATTAGAGATGCGTGATATATCGGTATCAATATCGGTATTGGCCAATGTCAGTCATTTTGTAACATATCGGTATTGGTTCTATAAATAAAACTGGGCTGATATTAACAACCGATATTTTTTCCATCTGGTTTCTTTTTGTTTATCTGCTTCGGGGGGGGGGGGGGGGGGGGGTGTATTTGTTTAGTCATGTGACAGTGACTGTAATCATCTCAGAAGTGTAAATGTGTGTTGTGTGTGTACATAATAATGTAAGTTCAGCTTTAATAATTTCATTCTATACCAAATCTGCTGATTTTAGAAGCATTAATGCCAGTACATCGGTATCGGCAAATATCGGTTAACAATGTGTAAAGGATGGGTAGTTTACATCTTAGTTATGAACCATAAAATGTGAGATTCCGTAGAAATATGAAATATCAATCTGATGGATCTTTAAATATTTTAATCAGAAGGTCAGAACTTTTTATTGCAGGGATTACTTGACACTTCGCATTAACTCCGAGGAAAGAGTCAGGTTTATAATAGTTGAGAAATTTATTTCTACACAATCTTTAAACAAGACTAACTTAAACACTCTGTGTACTGATGGAACTAAGGTGGAGTGAGACGTGATGAATGATGATGGTGTGTGTGTGGAATGTTGTTATCAGAACCAGCGGATCCGGAGAAGCATTTAGTTCTGAGTGGGAGTGAATGTTTCGCTCTAAACTTTAGTAGGAGATTTATAACACACATGAAACGTCATCTGTCAGTCTACGTACCCCAGGGGAAGCCTCCGATTAGATCCAGAATGTCGAGGTCCTCTTGGACCCTCCTTGGAACCGAAGCCGGTAGAAAAGCAGCGGTGCCGACCAAACTAGTCTTGGAATGCTTCCAGGTCACGATAGGTTCATTGGCGTCAGCGAGACCCTGAAGGGGTGGTTAGGTTCAGCTTTTATTCTGAAGGAACCGTTGCGGTCAGGTGTAACTTGCAACAGATTTTATCCAGCTTGTTGAGGTTCTTTTGGCTGAAGAGGAAGTCCGGATGGCTTGTCTGAGACTTCTCTAGAACGCTTTGAACTAAAGTAAAGGTGGCGTGGAATAGCTTTTATAATTGTCATATTTTAGTTTACTGGCGAATCAGAATTTTGACATGCAAAAGAGGGTTTATACAAACGCCACAGAAAACCACGCCTGGCCAGAAACGAAGGTTCTGATTGGATCAGACAAAAGGAAATGTGTCGTGTGACTTTAGCATTACGTGTCACCAGTGTCTAGTGCAAATGTCCAAGATTATTATTAGTTGTAAAATCCTACTGATCACAGGATTATAATATCAAGTAATAACATTGTCATTTCACAGATTGATTGAACATTGGGCTCACATTATTATTGGTAACAACAAAGTTGTTTGATTATGTGTTTATCAAGAGAGTTCTTCGTCTTCGTCTCTAGCTGTAAAAGGTGAAGCAGTTCAGATGAGCAGAGGGCATGAAAGACCTTGGCCAATATCTCATGTAGATTAGGCCTGTGCCAGAGACTTTATGTCTCTGCTCGAGCAGATGCAGCAGATCATAACCTTTAGGTCAAAAACAGGACATTCATGATGCTACAAGTGTAGCGGTCACACTTTATAGCGTGATGACTGCTAATTAATTATGACCAATAAGATGTGATAATTCCATATAAATATAAAATATCAATCTGATTGATTTTTCAAAGTTTAATCAGAAGATTACAGTTACTTTTACTTGTTCAGGGATCATAAACACACTTCGTATTAATTCAGAGTCAGGTATATAGTTAAAAAGGAATTTTATTATTTTCTAAACTAATGATTATACATGACAAGATATGAATAATGAGATGGTAGGTATGGTATGGAGATGTAGGTGGTGTGATGTAAGCTAGATGTTTATCACAATATTGGTATCTGAAAGAAATTGTGAAATCTGGGTGTAAAAGAATTTGTTGTCTGCTTTAAACTAGATAGTTGATTATTAATAAAACAGCATTAAACACAATTTGTTGTGTCTACAAACCCTGGTGGAGACCCCCAGCAGATCCAGACTATCAGAAGATGGGTGGACCTCATGGCACGGGAAGCTAATAGATTAACTCCGATACGACCCGTCCAGTCTTGCGATGTCTCCAGGTCACAACTGTGGCTGGAATGCTTGGTTGCATCCAAAGTGGATGTGGCTCTTAGGGAGCCGTCTGGCTGTGTCAGCTTGCAGCCTGCAAACAGGTTTTTGACTGTATGTCAAAAGAGATGTCTCAAGGATGTATTTTCCAAATTGGCCGGATCAGAACTCCACTAGAAACTGTACTCGGGAAGTAATTCTTGTTTTATCAAACTACTTTGTTATGATTTCAGGCCAAGTTTGGCCAATCAAAATTTGACTAGTTTCTGGGTATTTGACATGGTCTGGGGAACTTGTTTAACCCAAGACATGCAGAATCACAGTCTCACACAGATCTCAGGGTAAAATAATGTTTTATTAATAAAACGGGAACTCAGGGCGCGCTGGAAAAGACCAGTGGAGGTAGAAAACGGGAGCGCAGTATCTGAGGATGGGAGAGCAGAAAACAGGTGAGTCCAGGGAGGTAAGTCTTAAACTAGGTGGGTGCAAAGCTTTAGACTTACTGGGAGCCCGTAGGTTAGGAGCGAGGGAGGGTAGGTTGGGTGCCGGGGTGAATTCACGAGGGGAGTGTCCAGGAGTGGAAGTGAGAGGAGAGCAGGAGAGCGGGCTGACCGGGAGGGGAGGAGAACGGTGGGAGCTGCGTCCGGAGGTCCTATGGGCACAGGTGAGTAATCCAGAGAAGGCTCGAAGATCCAAGATGTTCTCCAGTGGAGTCACGGGAAACCAGAAGTGTTATCAAAGGAGTCACAGAAGTCCAAAGGTTATCCAGAGGAGTCTCAGAGGGAATCCAAAACGATCCAAAACCTGGGAGACAGGTAAGTCAGGTAAAAATTCCAAAACGGTCTCAAAATACTTAGAATCACTAGAGTTATATCCAAGAGTCACAAAGGGCTGGAAGCTACTGAGCTGTAGTTAATCATCCGGCGAAGTGATGTGTTCTCCTCCTCCTTAAATAGCTGGACCCGCTGATTGCCAATGCGCTGCAGCTGGAGCCTCCCTCTCCTGAAACACAACAGCTCAAAGATGGGGAAAATGAGAGGAGTACTCACCCCGGCACATGACAGTACCCCCCCCCCCCCCCCCAACGGACAGACCAAGCCTCGTAGTCCCGGCTCAGGGACGGATCCTCGATGAAGGAGTGGGGCACCCAGGAACGCTCCTCCGGACCGTACCCCTCCCAGTCGACCAAGTACTGGGTACCTGCATGGTGACGCAGTGGTTAGCACTGTTGCCTCATAGCATGAAGGTCGCAGGTTTGAAACTCGGCTGTGGCCTTTCTGCGTGGAGTTGCGTGTTCTCCCCATGCATGCGTGGGTTTCCTCCGGGTACTCTGGTTTCCCCCACAGATCACAACATGCCCTGCAGGTTATAAATTGTAAGTCGCTTTGGATAAAAGCGTCTGCTAAATAAATAAATATAACATAAACATACCTCGGCCACGGGGTTGGGAGTCCAGGATCCTGCAAACAGTGTAAACCAAGCCCCCCTTGTAGTACCGCGCAGGTGGTGGTGGAGCCGGTGTAGGACAGAGGGGGCTCGTAACAACAGGTTTAACCAGGGACACGTGAAACCCTGGGTGAATCTTGAGGGAGCGCGGGAACTCCAACCGCACCGTGGAGGGAGTGGGGACGTCCAGAATTCCAAATGGGCCTAGGGCCTAGGGGAGAACTTACGGGAGGTCGCCTTTAATGGAATGTCCTTTGACGAAAGCCAGACCTCTTGTCCCGGAGCGTAATCCGGAGCGGGGTGCTGCCAGCGATCTGCCAGCTGCTTGTTCCTTTCATCAGTCCTGTCCAGAGCTGCCCGGGTGACGCCCATGCCCGTTTGGCCCCCCGGAGGAACTGAGGAACCAAGGAGGGAGCCGAGGACTGCTGGGGAAACAGAGATGGTTGGTATCCTAATGATGCTTCAAAGGGAGACTGACCTGTAGAAGTTGAGATGTGGCAGTTGTGAGCATATTCCACCCAGGCGAGGTGGGTGCTCCACGAGGATGGGTGAGTTGAACAGACACAGCGCAGCATGGCCCCGAGCTCTTGATTCATGCGCTCACATTGCCCATTCGTCTTCGGGTGGTAACCAGAGGTGAGGGAGACCTTGGCTCCCAGTGCCTCAGTGAATTCCTTTCACACCTTGGACATGCACTGAGGTCCTCGATCAGAGAGGATATTCTCTGGAATACCATGAAGCCGGAAGACATGTTTAATGAGCAACTTCGCAGTGACTGTGGAAGAAGGGAGAGTCTTTAGTGGTATGAGGTGGCAGGCCTTAGAAAATCAGTCCATGATGGTGAGAATAGTAGTAAAACCCTGGGAGTCTGGTAAACCACAGACAAAATCCAACGCTATGTGTGACCAGGGGCGAGCAGGAGTCGGAAGGGGGTTTAACAACCCTGCCAGAGGCCTATGGTCCCCCTTCTGTTGGGCACAGATATGGCAACCTGAAATATAGTCTTTTACATCCTTATACATTGCAGGCCACCAGAAAGTTCAACGTATGAGGGCAATAGTGAGTCCAGCTCCTGGGTGTAGGGAGAACCTGCCTGTGTGTGCCCAGTGGACGACCTTTCCTCTCATGGCCTGTGGCACTTAGAGCCGGCCAGGAGGTCCCTTACCTGGACCCAGGTCAGTCCTTTTTGCCTCCAACACTTGATCCCGGATCTCCCAAGTGACTCCACCCACCACACAGTCCGGGGGGAGTATTGTGGAGGGTTCCTCCTCATGATCTGGAGCGTACTGCCTGGAGAGGGCATCAGGCTTGGTATTCTTTGGTCCAGGACGGTACGAAATCTGGAAGTTGAAGTGGGAGAAGAAAAGGGACC